CAGCTCCTCAATCTGGTTGTTAAAAAAGTTGAGCACTTCCAAATTCTTCAGCTCCGCTATGTTTGGTGGCACGGTTGTTAGCTTGTTGTGGCTGAGGACCAGTTGTGTGATGTGGGATAAGGTGAAGAGGCCGTTGACATCCAGCATGTTGGAGATGCCGCGGTCACTCATGTCCACTTCCGGCTGGTTCTTCTCCCGGCTCTCCTCCACCAACTTTTTCAGAGACTTGGACATGATCACGGAGGGCAGGACCTAACAGGCTGGGCGTGAAAAGGGCAGGGTTTCGCAGGGAACAATACCGCGGCGAGAAAGATGCAGCCGGCCAGAGGTAAAAGCCTCATTTTTTTTTTTATGGCCAAGTAGTATTCCATTGTATAGATGTACCACAACTTCTTTATTCAATCGTCTGTTGATGGGCACTTAGGTTGCTTCCATATCTTGGCTATTGTAAATAATGCTGTAATGAACATAGGGGTGCATATATCTTTGAATTAGTGTTTTGGATTCTTCAGATAAATACCCAGAAGTGGGATTGCTGAGTCATGTGGTAATTTTTTTGAGGAACCTCCATACTGGTTTCCATAGTGGCTGACTCAATTTACAATCTCATCAACAGCGCACAAGGGTTCCCTTTTCTCCACATCCTCACCAACATTTGTTGTTTGTTAATTTATTGATGGTAGCCATTTTGATAGGTGTGAGGTGATATCTCATTGTGGCTTCAATTTGCATTTCTCTGATGATTAGTGATGTTGAGCATCTTTTCATATGTCTATTGACCATCTGTATGTCTTCTTTGGAGAAATGTCTATTCAGGTCCTCTGCCCAGTTTTTAACTGGATTTTTTTTTTGGTGTTAAGTTATATGAGTTCTTTATATATTTTGGATATTAACCCACTATCAGATTTATCATTGGTGAATATCTTCTCCCATTGAATAGATTGTCTTTTCATTTTGTTGATGGTTTCCATTGCTGCACAAAAACTTTTTAATTTGATATAGTCCCATTTGTTTATTTTTTCTTTTGTTTCTCCTACCCAAGGAGACATATCTTAAAATTTACGTCAAAGAGTTTACTGCCTAGGTTTTCTTCTAGGAGTTTTATAGTTTTGGGTGTTTTTATTTGAAAGTTCAACATCTTGGACTGATGTGCCAATTTTCATTTATTTTTCCTTCAATTTTCCACCTCTTTTATTTGAGTCTTTTTGTAACATTTCCTCAAAATTATTTTCTATTTCTCCTTTTGATTTTTTCATTTCTGTTATCATACTTTTAATTTCTAAGAACTCTTGTTTTTTGAATATTCATTTAAAAAATTAGAATACCTTTCTTGTTTTGTGGTACAACATATTCTTTTATCTTTCTGATGATTATTATAAGATTTTCAGAAGTTTTCTTTGTCATAGCCTCCAAGTTGATTTTTTGTTTGTTTTATTGTAGTCTCTAACTTTCATACAGATGCATTGCTCAAACATCTGATGATTCTTGACTGTCTGTGTAGATTTGTGTTAGGCAGTAGAGCAGATTAAAAACTGTGAGGTTTTCTGCTATGGTTTTCACTACAGGGAGACCTGGCTGGGCTAGTATTACCTTGGGAAACTTCTGTTACTAGTTATCAATGTTATTAGGTCTGTTCTCTTTGATTAATCAGATTTCCATAGAGAATCTTATGTCGTGTGTGTGTGTGTGTGTGTGTGTGTGTGTGTGTGTTTGTGTTTGTATATGTGCCTGGCTGTCGGCATTCTGGGAACCAAGTAAGGGAAGAAGTCTAGGGATCTTAACATTAAGTATGTATATATTTACTTAATCGCCCTTATTTCAGGATAGTGGCCTTTTCCTCAAATGGGCATGATGTTTCCCAATCCAGGGGCCCTCAGATGGAATAAAACTTTAGTCCTCTACCAGGGCTGGGGAAAGAGAGTCACCCAGTAGCATTGAGTGAAGGAGAGAAATCATGGGTGTTGTTTTATTTGCTTTTAAGCAGATTTTCTATCAGTCATCCTGCTTTTATCTTCACCTTCACCTTGATAGCCACAGACACTGCTACCTTCTGGGCCTGTTGGGGTTTGTGCTATAAATTGGGTTTGTTCTTTGCTCTTGTCCTGCTGGCATAGAATTAAGTTTACTTGGGGCCTGCTAAGCCAGATAACTTGAATTTACCTGCGATTCTTATTTCTAGTTTATAAAATATATTATCTTTTTTCCCATTGTTCTTTTGAATTTGTACCTTAAAATTATCCTGTACTATGATTTTAGAGAGCTTAAGGGAAAGATCAGAATTAAATGCATGTGATCAATCTACCATCTTTAGCTGAAAGTGAAGAAATTCCTGAACCTAAGCATTTTCTTATGAAAACAGCACTTAACCCATTTGAAGTTATTTTTTTCTGCCCCTTCTCCACCTTACTTTACATATATTTTCATCTAAAAAAAACTAAAACCATTTTTAGTAATATTTTAGTATAACATTTATATTATCGTCAATACCTGTAGTATATTTTCTAATGTGGACTTCAGTATATTTTGGCTTTATGAAAAGGCAAGTTCAAATCACATTCTGTATGTTCTCAGTAGTAATGGTTAGTCTTAGTAAAGCTGTAATAGTGGTTAAAATAATGATGGTTAATTTTCTATTCTCAGGGATTCATTGCCTAATTAGGGGATTATTTAGATTCCTTGATCTCTATTTTCTTTTGCTAATGCTGCTTTGCTTCTGAACCTTTCAGTTTTCACTGAGGTCTTCTTCTATTAAATTAAAAAAACATAAGAAGTAAAATAAAGTTGTACAATTACCCTCTTTAGTTCAGTTCAATAAACATTGCTCACAATGTGTATAGTATTGTGCTAGGTGCTGAGGGTATAGAAATAGGGCGTGGTCTCTATGCATCCTAGCTCCTTGTTAATAGTCAGATATTGAGTTAGTCAGAACTGAAACGGACAACAGTTAGTTTTTGATTATCTGTATATTTGATTTGATCTACCCTGCCTACTCATTAAAAAATCTGATTGTAATTTTAATTTAATCATTTTAAACAATGTCATACCATATGGAAAAAAACCTCAGTAGTGCCTACCTCTGAGCACTTGCCATATTCATTTAACAAATGACTGAAATTCACCATTAATTTCATGCCTTTCATTTAAGGATCTGAACCCCATTAAAATGCAAAAAACACATTGTCCAATTACACCTCAGTACTTTCAGGTTGTTTTCCATCGGTATGTTTGAAAGACTTGGAAATGGAGAGAACATGAGGCTCTTGGTAATCTATAGGGGATGATGAATGATATGCTGGAGGGGATTAAGGAAGAACAGTGCACCTGAAAAGGAAGGCTAGTAGTGCCAAAAGTAGATCACCAGTTTCTCAATGTTCTTAATTCATTTGGGTTAAAAAAACAAAAATAGGTGACCTCTTTTGTTTTATTTTGATTCTAGAAAATTAACAATCCTTGAGTGGTCTATGTAGTAATTCTCAACTAGCTAGCAAATTTGATTGACCAGAGCAAATTTGTTGCTAACTGTTGTGGACCGTTGAGGTTTTATGGTGGATCATTAGTTCCTGGAGGGAGGAGACCGTGTGTGTTTTTTATTTGTCTTATATCTCTTCTCAACACCAGCACCTGTCCTCTCAGCAGAAATGGTGGGGCCTCAGTTAACGTTGTTGATTGACTAAAGACATTATGCCATCCTGCCTCATTTCACACAGCATTTTCCTCTTGGCTTGAATGTCACTGAGGTTGTCTTTCCCTACTGAGCACTCAGCTCTGTGCACTTCCCCATTCCAGCCTGTTGGCCAGGCCCTTGTTACCTTTTGCAGTTGGAATTGATCCCTAGAAGCTGTTAATATCTCCAGTTACTGGTTCACAGATTGATGGGTAGTCAGGCCCTGACACCTGCATTTACTAACATTATAGGGCGTCTGGATATCAAAGGGGCTAGGGTGGCTTCTAAATGTGGTTAGGAAGATGAAGGGGTTATAGTGCCCGTCACCTTTTTTAGAGAAGCAGAAACCCTGGGGAGAATTGCCAGGACTTGATCCTTTAACATAGGTTTGTTGAGGAGTGCTAGGAAGGTTCAGACAAGATGTCCTTTCAAATAACCCACTCTTCCACTATTTCCCCTCGCCCATTAAAGAAAAAAAACAGGGGCCGGCCGAGTGGTGCGATGGTTGAGAGCTGGCTTGGGATGCCGGAGGGCCCCGGTTCGGGTCCCACATATGGGGTCCGGTGACACTGCCCTCCACAGCTAAGATGCTGAACAACAGCTCAGCCTGGAGCTGGGTTGCTGTGAGTCGCTGACGACGGCATGGGCTGCGGCCCCTGTGGCAGTGAGTTGCCATGGGCTGCCGTATGTGGCCAGCAGCCAGCGTGAGCAGCCAGTGTGAGCAGCCAGCAGCTGCAGTGGGCGGCTGTCCAGGGGCCGGCGACTGGTCTGCCTCGCCCGGGAGGAGCGCAGTGGTGGCGCCAACTTGGGCTGGTGGGGCGGCGTCCTCCGCAGCTGGATTGAAGAATGGGACGACGGCGGCTTGTCTGTTTCCCTTCCCCCGGTTCCCTGGCGCTGTTCCCGTCCCCCCAGTTCCCCAAAAAAAATCTTAAAAAAAAGAAAAAAAACCCCAGAAAAAAACCAACAATGGTACCAGAGTGGTTAGTGCTCAGGTTCCAGAGTCTTTCTATTTGTGTTCAAATTCAAACTTTAATATTTGCTAACTATGGTTTTTAGAAAAACCATAGAAAAGTTACTTGACCTTTTCGTTCATTTTTTTCATGTTTTCTCATTTGCAAAATAGGGATAATAATAATGTCTACCTCATAAGGTCATCAGGCAGGGATTAAATGAGTTAATATGGGTTAAATGCTTAGAATATGTGTACAGTATAAATTAGTCATCATCATTATTATTATCCAGATGAGCAGATCAAAGGTGTCTGCAAGAATCCAGGGGATTTGGAGAACCCCTGACTTCCAGGTCCCTCTGAATTGCTCCCTACTAGGAGGAAAATAATGATCTGCTCTGTGTAAACCCTCGTTGTCACTAGCTCACTAATTAGGTTTCCAACTTATCATAGCCCAGAGGGTGACAGACAAAATTTGAGTGTGGAAGAAAGGAGTTGTACCTAAAATTAATGAGAAAATTGCTAAAATGTATTGTTGCTATGGAGGCAGCAATGTGTGTAGAAGCAGCAGTGGACGTGGTGATGGATGACCTCTGCCCCAGGCAAACCATTTAGCTTGTCTGACCCTTTGATTCCTTGCCTGTAAAATGAGGATAAAA